CCCAAACTAAATTATCTCCCCTTCAATCTCTCATTCTGTTTATTTCCTCCACAGCACCTGCCATAATTTGTAATTACCTAGTAAGTAACATATTTTTCAAACCCCTGTCAACTTGAGGGCCTCCCTGGTGGCGCAAGGGGTTAAAGACAACGCTATCAAGCTATTGCCAGCCACTGCAGCACAAGTTCTATTCCCTGGCCAGCCAGGGAGGTGACCTACATGGCACAGCAGACCTCTCCTGTCTTGCCCGCTGCTCCCCTCAGCAGTGTACTTCAATCAATTTGCCTGTTCTGTCCCCACTCTGTCTCTGGTGAATCCTCTCACTCCCCACACCTCTGGCCTACACCCCAGCTCTTGTATGCATAAGTAAATAAATCTTTAAAAAAAACAAAAACCCCTGTCAACTCAAAGAGGGAAAAGACCATGTTTGATGCCTACTTTGTGAACCTAGTTCTGAGTTTAGTGGGGTCATAACAGAAGCTCAGTAAACTCTTGAAGTCTTGGGTCTCCTGGTGCTCGTGATGCTGATAAGCCCAGGCATGGATGCAGATGGGCCATGATATTACCTGCTCCTAGACTTGAGGGGTATTTAATGAGTTGCTGTGGATAAAATGCTTAGAGCAGGGCTTGCCTGGCACATTTAAAGCTCTGTCAGTGGTGGTTATTATTTATTCCTTTTCATAATCGAGGGATAAGAGCTCTGCCAGTTCCTTTCTTCTGTCTAGCGTGCAGGAGGAGTCTTGAAGGGCTATCCGTCTTCTCCTCTGAGCAGGCCTAAAATCAAGGATGTTTTAATTCTTGGTTCTTAGTTCTTAACATCCCTCAAGGACTATCATTTTCCTTCTGGCTTATTTCACTGAGCATAATCCCTCCTAGCTCCATCCATGTTGCTGTGAATGGCATGAATTTATCTTTTTTGAACATTTCCATTTTTTCCCTATTGTAAATAGTGCTGCAATAAACATAGGTGTGCAGGTATCCTTTTGAATTAATGTTTTGGTGTCCTTGGGTAGATTCCTAAGAGTGGAATTGCTGGATCATATGGGTAGCTCCATTTTTAGTAGTTTGAGGTGAACTGCACACATCTTTCCATAGTGGTTGGACCAATTAGCATTCCCACCAGCAGTGTAGTAGAGTTCCTTTTTCACCACATCCCTGCCAACATTTGTTGTTGCTAGTTTTTTTAATATGTGACATTCTCACTGGTGTACGGTGGTATCTCATTGTGGTGATTTGCATTTCCCTGATTATAAGGGATGTTGAACATTTTTTCATATGCCTGTTGGCCATTTGCATTTTCTCTTTGAAGTGTCTTTTTAGCTTTTCTGCCCATTTTTTGCATTGTTTACTTTGTTTTTGGTGAGTCACCACACACATTCATTTTTCTGACTGTTTATGTGGAGCAAAAATTCAAGAATGGCTGAGTTGGGCCCACTGCCTTTGGATTGCTCACAATGCTGCCATGGACTGACCAACGCCAAGTCTTTTTTATTAATTTTTTTTTAATTGAGATAGTGTTGGTTTACAGCTGTGTATGTGATTTAGGGGTATAGATTCACACCTCTTCAGATGTATGGTACCATGCAGTACAGGGCTGTGGTCTTATCTGAATGCTTGACTGGGGAAGCACCTGCTACCATGCTCACTTACATTCTTTTTTTTTTTTTTTCTGTGGGACCCTCGCCGGTGGCCGGAGAAGGAACTGGCGCTGCAGAGGCTGTGGGCAGCCTCGCAGCCCAGCGCTCAACTGCTGCACCACCAGAAGAGGCCCTCACTTACATTCTTGTTGGCAGGATTTGGTTCTATGAGGATTTTTTTGGGCTGAGGGCCTTAGTTGCTGGCTATTAGCTCAAGGCCACTCTCAGTTCCTTGCCACATAAGCCTCCCCAGCATAGCAGCTTATTTCATCAAAGCCAACAAGAGTGACCATCTGCTAGCAAAATAGACAGCATAATCTTTTGTAGCCTTATTATGAGACACTGTTTTCTCAACATTGCTATAATCTTTCGGTTGGAAGCAAGTTGCTCAAGGAGAAAAGACTATATAAGACCATGAATACCAGGAGGTAGGGAGCATTGGGGTCACATTGGAGTCTGTGGGCCAAAATCCTCTCTTGCCACTCTCTTATGAGTTCTATAGACTACACAATGTCTTTTTAATACATTACTTTCTGGCTTGAGTGTACTAGAATTGGTGACTCTTATTTACATCCAGATCAATATATTTGTTTATTGCTTACTCTTCTATAATTTTGTGATCCGGGTTTCTGTTGAACTAGCACCTTTCTTAGTGAGGTATGAGCTCATTGCTCCTTTTTTTCCAATGTTGTCAATTCTCTGTCAGAATACTTGGCTACCTCAGAGCCAGCTAGCCAGTATTCATGAGAAAACTTGTCTGGACATTACTTTCGAAGATTATAAAAGAGACATTAAGATCCTTTCAAATTAGCTCTGTAAAAATGGGAAAACTAAGTCCTGTTCATGAAACAGCTCATAAAACTCACATCTAGCCCAGGGTTTTTTTGCAGCTTATCCTTATTTGAGTTGTGTCCAAATGGTTGCTTTCTTCCCTAGAGGTTCTATAGAGTTTTCGTATCAGAAATCCAGTGCAAATTCGCTTAAGCTAGAAAATGGAATTTGTTGGCTTACAAATCTAGGAGAATTACTGGGAAGACTCTTTGGATCAAAAGAAGACAGTACTTAAAAGCCTGAACCCAGTGGCCCAGTACCATCAGCCCTCCCTTTAGTTTACATGGCCATCTCCATCATCTTTTTGTCTCTCTTTTTTGGTCTTATTTTTTGCTTACAATCATGCTTCTCAGATTGTTGGTATGTGACCTTTGGTAAACTCCAGTTTAGCCTTTTATTCAGAAGAGAGAGGATTGGCTTAGTGTTTTTTCTTGTGTCAGGAAGATGGGGGTACTACATTAGACTAGGCCTGGGTTATGTGACCACATTCCTATTGCCAGGGGACAGACCATGGAAAGCCAACAGCCACTGCTTCTCAGTAACCTAGGCATGGACAGACTAACCATGCAAACGATCCTTGAAATATTGGAGATCAAGACAATGCCACACTCTGTGGTGAAGGCCTATCTGGGAACCATGGCATGGTTTATTTTTGGCCAATATTTTTCAGGAAGTCTTGGAATTAATTTTATTGTATCCCCTGACAAAATCGGGTCATGTTAAATTTTTTAGTATAAATTTCACTTTTTCCCTAAGTACTTGACACTTGGGGAAAAATTATTGGTATAGTTGTGATGGCCAAGGATGACATGGAAAATAGCTGTTCATGGACTCATAACCAAGATTAAATTACAATAACAAAGAAGTCAAAGATACTTTCTGTGATTTATGGGCTTATTGGTCTTTTTTGTTTTTAACTTTTCAAGTAAGGAAGTATTTGTCCAGTTCATGAAAACCACATGTATTCAGAGACTCATTAATCTTAATGTCAAGAGTAAGTCTTGTTTTGAGATTATTATAAATATGAATTGAGATCAAAGCAGTCTGACCTAACTTTTGGGTGATGTAATATTGTGATCCCTTTAAATGTGTATATTGACACTGAAATTACCCTCCTAATTCTTTCAGAGGAATACTGCAGTGGGCTTCCTGAAAACTTGTACTGGGGTGTTCTCATAACTGGTCCTTTGTTCTTTTGCAGTTCTTTGTGGAGGGCCCTGTATATACTAAGTGACAGAAGCAATTGTTTATGATAATCTTCCTGACTGTATCTAAGTATAGTCTGCTTTAGGGCTGTCACCCCCAGATAAGGAAGCAACTTACTGTTTAGTTCAGATTGGGATCCAATATTAAAGATGACAGTGGGGTGTAGAGAAGTGAAGAGAAATCTTCCCTGATGTCTCCAGGGGCAGAGGAGTGTAGAGAGCCAGAACTCAGTTATTAGAGCAGACAGACTTGGGTTTGACTCTTAGCAAAGACATTGCTTTAGCTTTGTGACACTGGGTAATTAGCTACCTTTTTAAAACCTTAGTTTTCTCATCTGTAAAATGGGGCTAATAATACTACAAACCCCATAGTGTTGTGTTTTAATGAAATAATCCAAGTAAGGTATTTAGTATTATATGAGAGTATTGCTTTAAAACCACTAGAATAGTTGAATAATCTCAGGAAACATGATTGTGTCTTCATACAAAAAGCAAATAGCCACCACCAGGGGGCAGCATGAGGTCTCTGGGCAGAGGCTTTGGAACCAAGTATGTTGCCTTGGGTTTATATTGCAGGAGTTAACTCTCAGAGAAGCAGTTCCTCAACTGTAATAAATGAGGTAATAACACATGCTGTGAGGATTAGAGAGATTATATTTAAGTGTGTGGCTGATAATAAGCTCCACAGTAGGTTAGCTTTTAAGAAATTCCCTACCTGGTGATCTTCACCATGCCAGGTCACAGCAAGGATCTCTAGAAGACAAACAGCCTCTCTGATGTCATTAACCCCGTGAACCTCATTCTTCTGGTCCTTAAGCAGACCTCACTGCTTGTAGGCCTAACCTGAGCTCCTTCAAACCAGGGCACAAGGAGCCATGCTACAGGACACTGCCATGTAGAAATATACTCTTCACATGAAACACAACCTGGCAGGTTTCCAGTTAGGGGCGATATGGAGATCTCTATCCACTCCCCCAGAGTAGGTGCGTTAGAATTACAAATACCCACTAAGATGGCCGTGACTGCATCAAGACCACCAAGAAACATTACAAAGTGAAGATTTTTTTGATATAGAAAATGATGTTCAAAGGTCAACGTTTCTCGAAGAATGCTTTCTCTGCTTTTTGCCTGATAGTGGAAAGCTACGAATCAATAAAAGGCTGCCTTTCCCCGAGTTATCGATCCTCTACATGGCGGATTCTTCCCCTGACACCATTTCACATGGGTCCCTATTCAGGAGGGACGAAAGACAAAAAAGTGTGGGGAGGGGGGTTTGTTTAAAAGTGGGGTGGCATTAACTGACATTCTCCCCTCTTGTGTCTTGCAGCTTACTTCTGCTTCCTCCTGACTGCTCTGGGTGTGACTGCTGGTGCCCATCGCTTGTGGAGCCATAGGTCCTACAAGGCCAAGCTGCCTCTGAGGATATTTCTGGCTGTCGCCAACTCCATGGCTTTCCAGGTGGGCTGGAGGGTCCTTTCTGAGGTGGCACTGTGGGAGGAGGCAGAGCATGCTCACTGCGGAGAGGACAGTTCCTTACCTCCATTCCAGGCTCAGTGCTCGGGCTGCAGGCACTCTCTGCCTGTGCCGTTTTGATCTCCTTGTAGTTTCGGATGTGAAAAGATGTCTCCTGGGTGCGTTGTGCTTTGAGGCATGCTGGGCTACAGAGGAGGAGATTCCACCATCTGGAATCCATGCCCTAATCATGTCCTGAGATCCTTGATAACACAAGGCTCTCAAGGGCCAAGTGCATGCCACGCATGTTGCATGCATGTCACATTTTATCCTCATAGTAACCCCATAAGCTAGGTGTTATATGTGTCCCCATTTTACAGGTGAGGAAACTAAGGCTTAATGAAGTTCTAGAACTTGCCCAAATGATATGACTAACAAAGGGCACATCCAGAACAGGCAAATGCAGGTGTGTCTCCAAAGCCATTGCTCCTAAAATATATATTCCTGAGGTTGCCTATAAAGTTGTGTGTTTTTTAGATTTGTTTATTTATGTATATAAGAGCTGGGGTGTAGACCAGAGATGCAGGGGGTGAGAGGATTCACCAGAGACAGAGTGGGGAGCAGAACAGGCAGACTAACTGAAATACACTGCTGAGGGGATCAGTGGGTGAGGTCTGCTGCACCATGTGGGTTAGCTCCCTGGCAGGCCAGGGATTGAACTCGTGCTGTAGTGGCTATGAATAGCTTCATAGTGCTGTGCTTAACACCTTGCGCCACCAGGGAGGCCCATGCCCCATGGTGGAAAATCTATTCAGTATGGAATCTAAAGACGTAGGATCTGAGTCTTACTCCTATGAATCCTTAACTCATCTGCACTATCTTCATCTGTAAAGATAAGAATATGACTTTACTCCCAGAGTTGTTATGAAGTCATTAAAAATTACAGGCAGCGTGGCCTAGGACTGGGGAGACCCCTTTATAGTTCCAGGCTTACATGGCCTCACACCACCTTGGCCACCTTCTGGGCCACTGGAATTTTGGTTTGATCATCAATTTCCTGGTCTGATCTAGTCAGAGTGAGTGGGAACAGCTTGTTTTCAAAGTTTCTGTCCATATATGAGTGCAGATGATTCCAGGCACCATTTTCTCATGACGAAATAGCGATTCCCAAAATTGCTATCAGGTCCAGGGAAACAGGCAACCCAGGAGCCACTCTGTGACCCTCGGATGTGTAGGTCACGTGGCCACCTTGGCATTGGGCCTCCCATCCTCTAAGACAGCCTACCCTGAGCATCTCTCTAAGTTGCTTTTGTGTGGAGGAATTCATTTCCCTATTTTAGACTCCCCCCTATGAATGAGTGGCCATAAAACAAGTAGGATACAACACAGTGGATCACTTAGGGAACCCAGTTTTTATTATCGATAGCAGCTCATTATCATTCAGTCAAGAATTAGCACCAGGGTCTTGGGGAAAAGCCATTGTGCACAGAAGAGTTGTTGGCAGCATCTTGGTTTCACGTTCTTTTGTTTACTGTTGGTACTGTGAACTGTGCTGCTCTTTATTTTGACTTCAGACATCTTAGCTCAGTGTTGTGCTTTGTTTAACATAACAATGAGTTATGGTAATGATAATTTAGAAACTCTTCGACTTAGGCCTTAGATGCTAGTCAGGATTTAACTCAGTAATTTTCATTTATTTTGTTAAGCAATTTATTGTTTTTAACCTTCAATTACACATTCATGTAGATAAGCACCTCTATTATTGGGATTTTTTCCCCAACATAAATAACTTGAAATTAAGGGTCTAAAACTCTGGTTTCTCTTTTCCCGATGAAATGATTTGTTTATAATTTAGTTTGGGGGAACCTCGGTTTCCTCAACAAAGCAGCACATAACCCAATCCACACTGTGATTTTAAATTTACTCTGGGAAGAAAGTACAATGCAGAGGGAAGTACCGAGGTCCTGGAGTAAATTTTTGGCTCTGCCATTCGCTCTGTGTGTGCCTTTGTGCAAGTCTCTGTTGTTTATTTGCAAAGATGGGGATCATAATATTTATCTCACAGAGTTGTCAGAGGGTAAAATAATGAATAAATAGTGCTTCACTTTTAGTAGCAATCAGTGAATATTGTTCTTCCTCTTCTTTATGAGAATTGGCATTTCTCTGTTCTATATTTTGTGACTCTCCTAGGGAAAACACTATGATTGTTTGTTAAATAAATGGATAAATAGTTTTAAAAGGTATTATTAGAATTCATCAGATATGAACAATGCATACTTCTTCTAGGCCCATGCTGTGGAGCTTTTAATTCATTCAGCAAATTGTTATTGAGCATCTACTATGCAGCAGGCACTGAGCTAGTCACAGTGGGGATAGTGGTTAGCAAACACAGTCACTTGCCTTCATGGAAACTTCTGTCTAGTGAGATATTAGAATTCTCACAATTATCCAGTAGAAATGTCAGTGTCCCATGGGTTTGGGCTTTAAGGTAATGTCATTTAGACATTGATGAGAGATATCTTTAAGATCAGCATAGGGCCAACTTGATCCAACACATAACTGTGTCAGTGGGAAAGTATGTGTACAATCCAGAGCACTTAACCCCAGGAAGAAAACAACCTGGGAAAGTAAAATATGTGTTGGGTGTAGCACATTGACCTACAATCTTGACTTAATGAAGGGTCATTGATTTAGGGTTTTTTTGATGGCCCCTGGGTTTTAAAAGACAGTTTCAAAGGTTCTCTTCTATTTTCCTTCATCAGAATGGCCATGCTGTTGGTTAACATGGACACATTAAGCCATGGTTATTTCTGTCAGCAGGTTTTTTGTTAGATACTGCAAACAAGACCTGGATAATCCAGAACAATCTTCTTGAAATTGGGACTTAAACATTTGTAACTCCCTTTTCTCTTCTGTAGAGGATGTATATATGGGACAGGTGATGATAGTGGGAAGGGTAAAGAACTTGTTTGTCTGAAAACATGATACTGTGGGTGGGAATGCCAGACTAGTAACCATAATAGTTCTCTGTCACTTCTATATCCTTGTATTGAGAGGAAACTCCTTACTTCCTCTCTCATTCATCCTTTTTCCTCACCAGTTACCATGCAAGTCAACCTAAAGACTGTAAACTCCCTAGTCAAATATGGACCCAGATGAGGGATTCTTGCCATCCAGTGGTCTCCAACAGTTCAGTCTTCACAAGCATTAGCTAGGACTTTGGATTTTGCTCTCACCTTCATGCACACACACCACTGGTGGCAGGGTGTCTCTTGGACTCACTCCAAAGTACTTGTTAGATGTTTCACTCCTTGACTGCCATGTTTACACATCAGACCCTATTAAAGAGGCATTGAATTTAGAGCTGGAACTGAGATTATAAAGATTTAGTCTAAATTCTCCTATGTTACAGTAGGGTAAAAAGGAGCTCTGAGTATGTCAGTGACTTTCCAGAGATTACACAGCTAGTGAACAGAGAAGACTGAGCCCATGTATGTTAACCCTCATGCCAGGAATCTTTAGGCTCAACCACTGACATTCAATGTGATGTCCAACAGATAAACAACATACAGTTGGGTCTTGTTTTTTTTATAATCTCTGTATTTAAATTGGTGTATATATGTCATTCACTTTTAAAGTAGTTATTGCTATAGCTTGATTAATATCTATTATGCTTCTATTTGCTATTTGTTGCTCTTTGTCTTTAACTCTTTTTTTCTGTACTCCCTGGTTTTAATAAAGCATATTATGTGATATTATTTTAACCTCTCTAAGTGTACTAGTTATCCTTTCAAAACAATTCAGTGGTTACTCTGGAGCTTGCAATATACATTTACAACTAATCCAAGTTCACTTTCAAATAACACTGTACCCCTAAACAGCAGTGCGATAGCTTCATAATACAGATTTCCCAATTCTTCATTCTTGTCCAATGATATTGCTGTTGTTCATTTCCCTCATCCATAAGCTGTGATCACCAAAACCATTGTTATTATTATTACTAACAAAATATTGTCTATTAGATCAACTATGAATAAGAAAAATTAAAGATTTTATTTTATATTAATTTATCAATTTCTAACACTCTTTATGAAGATCTGAGTTTCTAACATATGTCATTTTCCTTCTCTCTAAAGAACTATTATTTCTTGCAAAGTAGCTCTACTGGCAACAAACTGCCTCAGTTTATATTTTTTCTGAGAAAGTATTTGCTTTTCACACATGTGGAATAACTTGCTGACTGCAGAATTCTAGGTTTGTGAGTTTTTCTTTCAACATTTTAAATAATTTACTCATTTTTGTTGCCTATGTTTCTTAGAGAAATTTAGTGTAATTCTTATCCTTGCTCCTTAAAGGAAAAATTATTTTCCTACCTCTGGTTTCTTTCAAGATTTTCTTTTTGTCTTTTATTTTCTGCAGTTTGAATATGTGCATGAGTGTAGGTTTTTGGTGTTTATCTATCTTGGTATATTCTGAGCTTCCTGGATCTGTTGTGTGTCATTAATTTTGGAAGATTCAGCTGTTATTACTTCAAATAATTCCACTGTTTCTCTCTCTTTCCTACCTCCCTTTCCTGTTCTCCTTCCTTCTTTTCTTTTCTCTTTTGGTATTTCCATTACACATATGTTGCACATTTTATAACTGTCCCACAGTGCCCAGATATTCTGTTTCATCTTTTCTCTTTGCATTTCAATTTAGGAAGTGGCTTCTTCTTTTTTAAAGATTTATTTATTTATGCATACAAGAGCCAGGGTACAGGCCAAAGATAAGGGAGGGGAGAGGATTCACCAGAGACAGAGTGGGGAACAGAACAGGCAGATTGACTGAACTCCAGTGCTGAGGGGAGCAGCAGGTTAGACAGGAGAGGTCTGCTGCGCCATGTGGGTTGCTCCCTGGCTTGCCAGGGATGGAACTCATGCTGCAGAGGCTGCGAATTGCTTCATAGTGTGGTGCTTAACTCCTTACTCCACCAGGGAGGCCCGGAAGTGGCTTCTGATATGTATTCA